GTCATTTTTAGACTTCTGTGGACATTCATCAGACACAAGTCCCTTTTCACCACAGTTCAGCAAGTGACAATGCTAGACTTTATCTTCTTGTATGGTTTTAAAAAAGGAAAATTCGGCTCATAGGTTTGAAATCAACCAAGACAACTACCCTTACTGTATCTACATCTTTACTTTCTTCAATAGCAGCGAAACCTAGGAGGAAGGGATCTAAGTATCTTTCTAGCCACTTCATTTTCTCCTAGAATATAACTGCTATTAACTATATCATTTAGCTTAGCATAGAATCATAAAAAATATCTCTCCCATTTTAAGATTTTCATATTTTGTACTCAACATCTGAAGCTTAAAGATCTTAACAGGTGTCGTATTGTCATGTACTATTTTAGAATTTCCCAAACTTCTTAGCCAAAGTACAACTAGTTATTCTAGCAAATTCAATAGGCGTGACAGCAGTGAGAACTGCGTTTAGGCTCTAGAATTATAATTTGCCCAGCAAGTTCCTCTTTTGACCAACCCATGCTAGGTTTTGGAACTCCTTCTCTAGTAAGTATTTTCCAGCCATTGTCTACACCTAACCTGACTTTTTCATCAAAATATTTAAGGAAAGCTCTTATACATGCTTTCCAATAACAATAGTTTGATTAAACAAACAATATAGGTCTAGATATGAAACCACCTTACTTAAGACTATTCATAATCTAGTCACTGATTTTGAGCGAACTATTCTTATACCAATTGATAATCTAGGACCGAAACCTTACGCTTTGATAGAGAGTATGCTCAAAGTCCGTGATCTAGATTTTTAGATGGGGTTGAATATGTCTTAATGGTTGTCTTAATTAATTTTAACCACCGTTTAAGTTTCAATGAAATTGATAACTCGAAATTTAAAGTAACAAAAGATCTCAATGATCCAATGTTCAATCACAAGCAACATAAATTAGATAGCAAACGCAATGGGAACGAGATATTTTACGTGGAAGATCCTAGCAGGAAAATTTTTGGGATCTAGTCCTGGCAGATCAAAATATTCAATATAAGAAAGATATTACACTAGGTCAATAGTTCAAATACCCTAAAAGCCCCAGATAAGTTATCTTTTCACCAAACTGACACTCAATCTTCAAGCACACAGTCTGCTTCTTCAACAGATTGTGCTCCTCGGGGGATCTGCTTCTTCAATTGTTTTTTTGATCTCTAGACAAGTTGTCCAGTCAATTTTGGTTCATTGATTTTTTGTTGGTGTTGAACTTCAATTCAGCACAACAGTAGTATGATATGTCAACATACACACTTTTAACATCTAGGGGCATTGAATACTATATTTTCTTCTTTTAACATGACTGAATTTAGTAGGATAATAAACTGCACTATTGCAAAGGATGCATGGCAGGTTCTAGAAAAAGTACACGTGGGAACTACCCCTCTGAAAAATTTCAAACTACCGATGCTTATCCCTAAGTTTGAAAATCTTAGAATAGAAGATAATGAACACTTGAATATTATACTAAGATTAATGATAGTGAATAGCAATTTCATGTTAGGTGAACCAATCCCTGGAGGAAAGTGGTGAAGAAGATACTTAGATCTCTTCCTGAAAGTGTATAGGTAATATTAAGGTAATTGACTTGCTAGGATCACTACAAACATACGAACTCAATCATCCTCCAACTAAAAATGGTAGAAACCTTGCACTAAAAGCCATAAAAAGAAGATTCAAGTGAGAGTTCTGGTAGTGAGACTGATGAAGAGTTGCTTTACTTGCTAGGAACTTCAAAAAGTTTTTGGAAAACAAAAATAGTAAAAAAGGGGCAAATATTCAAATTAATTTGACTCTAGAAAGGACAAATCTAGGAAAAACATTAAAAGATTTAATATGCTGGAATTGTGATGTGATAGGTCACTTTCTATTAGAATGTCCAAAGAAACTTAAGGAAGATAACAAAGATACAGACAAGAAGAAAAAAACCAAGGCTAAATCATTGCTTTGCTTTCTGATTCCTCTGAATCGAATATCGAAGATTCTTCTTCTGAAGCTGACGAGGTATCTCAAGTTGCATTGGTTGCAAAAGTAGACCCTCAGAATACTTCCAGTTATAAATCTTCTGAATTGAGTAGTGATATAAAAGATGATGCAAATAGCTATAGAGAAAGTGAAGATGAAAAGGATGACGATGATCGTTCAAAGCTTCGAATAGTCTTTACTGAATTATTTGAGGAGACCAGTCATGCTAATAAAAGTCTGAGAAAAGTTTAAATTCTAAAATTAAGAATTTAGAACAAACCCTAGAAGAGAATAAGTCAATATTGTTTGAGAAATCTTGTTGCTGACTGAATTGAGAAAGATGAAATTGACTTACTCAATGAGATAAAATTCTTAAAATAAGAAAAATTTGAGGCACAAAGTCTAAAGAGCACCTTAGTCAAGAAAATTGAAGATTTAGAGACTGAATTTATAACTTCTAAAGAAATGGCTGCAAAATTTACATTTAGTACTAATCATCTAAATAAGCTATTTACAATGGGCAAATCTTCAAATGATGATGAGACTGGCTTAGGTTATACTGGTGCTTCTTCTTCTACAATAGAATTACCCTACTCCTGGTTTGACTAAAAGTAAATTAGATTTCTATTCCTTCTTCTAAGGGTAATGACAACCAAGTTTCAATCTCTGTTCCAAACAGTACTAAAACTTTCAATGTTCAATCTAGGAATAATAGAGTTGTTTGCCCTTTAAAAAGTTTTCATCCCCCTTCTCTCCATTGCACTCCTGTGATAAGATAGGTACTGTAGAGACTGTAGACTCTATTGTTATCAACATTTAGAGTTTCTGAAAATAGGTGTTAGTGGAAGAATGCTAAGTTTGATAATAATAAACCCAATAAAAACCAAAAGAAGAATAATAATTGTAGGAAGAATAATAAGAAGAAATCTAAAGAGAAATAAGTCACCAAAAAATAACCAAGATATTTCACTGAAAATAAAATTGATTTGGTTAAGTAGTAATGACTTGAAATATTTTATGAAAATTTCTTTGGATTCCTTGTGGCATCAAAACCCTAAGAAATCAAATGATCAGTAATTTCATAAGGATAGATAATAGACTTGGGATGATTTAATGGAATATTTTCTGAAACCTAAGATTATGTGATTGTATATCTATTTATCATTTAGTTTCTTTATATTTATTTCTGATTTAGTTTAATCCTGCCATGGACTTAATTTTTGAGGATCATGCTGATAATTTAATCAATTGAATCAAATTGGAAGCATAATTTTGAAATTGATTCTTAATAGACACAACGATTTGAATACTTTTTAGAGTTTGTTTATATAGTTTTTTGTTAGTGAGATTAAGTAAAATTTAGTTTATTATTTTTTTATTAGTGGGAACTGTTTAAATTACTCACAAATATACTCATGTGTCAAAATTGTGGACTTCTACTTAAATAATGATTAACTTATTAGAGATGAAGACTTGAGACATGCATTGTGCTGAAAATAAAATAATTGTGCGAGGTAGTCTCAATAAAAGAAAAGAAAGTATTATTAGAGATGCATGCATTCTTCTTGAAAATGGCTATCTATGGGAATTGTTCAAAGCTACCAAGACAATGTAAAACACATAATAAAAATTAAAAGTCATAAGAAATAACTGGCTACGTTCATAATTAGAAAGTAATGAAGTTGGAAAGAATTGAAAATATGTAAAGAAATGAATCTGGAAAGAACTGAAAGTATGTCTTCAAATCTTTCAAAGTGAAAGTTATTTTTGTTTAAGGAATCCAAATTCGACTTTGCTTATATTTGTGTCGTGTTTAATTTTCTGTGAACGTGGTTTTTTGAGTTGATTCCTAAAAATTGTTTAGATTTGAGCCAAAACTTTGAGTCAAACTGTTTGCCTTTTGAGTTTTTCCCCCCCTAATTAGATTTTTGAGTTTATTGAGCTTGAAAATATTAAAATTTGTGTTTACTTATCAAAAAAATATATATTAAAATTTGTGGGTTCAATTTCGATTTCATTTATTTAATTTTTTATGATTTGACAAATTAAGTAAACATGGCTTAGGTTTTAATTTTATATGTTTCTTTATGTAAAACACACATTTAATTTTTAGGGTTTATTTTATTTTGGAGAGAATTAGAAGACATATAGCACTCCCCAATCTAATGAAAAATGATTGATGAATGCAAAAATAAAATAGAGATATGCACTCTAGCCTTTTGATAAACCTGAGAATCTCTCTAGTCTATATGTCTATAGGTTTTGAAATAATAAGCTATAGAAATTAATCTTTCAATGTTTTAGTTCCAAAGGAAAACTGCTTTTCTGGAGCATTCGATTGATTGAGGAGTTATGTCAATCGATCAACATGCATTTAGTATCCTTTGATCGATTGAAGTTCCTTGTCATCCATATTTAGAAAATTTCAAAAAAATTAATTTTGCAAAAACACTTCAATGCAATTCGATTAGGATTTTTCCAAATAAAAACGTGAAGTATGAAAAATCCTAACGCACGAGAGGTTTTGATCATTGTGTAGTTCCCAATCAATTATGTACACATATCAAGAAATGTTTATGTATTCAGGTGCATACATAATGTATATAATTTGTTCTTTGGAGCAGTGTGGTACTTAGCTTACAGTACCCCAAGAGGCCTTTATGGGTCTGGTCATGACACCCATGATGGATGGACATTCTCAGATGCAATGACTATAAATTTTACTGTGACTTTTGGTGTACAATAGTTTCACGAACAAATGGTATGTGTGCAATGGCATGCTAGGGACACCACATTAAGTGAACAACATTGTATAATGACAACTGTAGACAGCACTAAAATAATGATGATGATGATTATGATAATTCTTGCCACTGCACTTCTCTCGTGCTGTATCTAGGTCTATAATTGAGACATTATTATTTTCTCCTCCTAAAAGGATAAAAGAATTTGAGTATGTGTGTTTCAAGAATTTGCCTGATTGTATGCCGTGTAGGTTTTCATCTCTTGGATGCACTTCTGTGCTGTACGTATCTTTGTGGAGAGCATTTTGAGATACGGCTTGCCTCCATCTTTCTTGGTAATCAACTGTCAACTTCTCTATTCCCTGCCCTCTTCTGTAATATTTTTCTTCCTTATCTTTTCTTATGTTATGATTTTAATTTCTGGGCTAAGATGCCATTCTTGAATTGATTGCAGTCAGTTGTATTGGCACCTTCTACGAAAAGTGAGAAAAAAGTTCGTTCTATTCTAGAGGGACTATGTGACAGTACAAACAGGTAATTAATGAGCATCATAGATTTTCTCTGTTATTGAATGACCTCCTGTAACCTTTATGTCAAAGAATGGGCAAACTACAGTAACAATCTTAGGTTAGAATAATTGAGGGCTTCAAATGAATAAATTTTCAACCCAAACCTGCATTTGGAAAAGAAAAAGAATTGTTTCCGGTGCAATTTCCTTTAGGTGTGTTTTCTCCCTTACGGTGGGAAAAAGTAAGATGCAGCCAAATAGATCTAACATAGAATATGAATTTGGTGTAAATTTTTTCCGAAAAATTGCATATAAACTGGCTATGTTTTGAAGGATCTTTATAGAAGGGCTCAGAAGGAAAGGATACTGCGAGTGGTTCAGTAGCTTACTGCTAATAATCAAGTGTCCTTTGATGGTCTAGCCCATTTAGTTCTGTCCCTGGAGGCTGAAATCTTTGGACACGTGTTCTGTGAGTCAATAATATATCCCATCTCGATACAGGAGTTGAATGTGATGGGCCACTCTTGTTTTTAATTGTTGTTCCAGGACCACCTGAAACTTTCTCATTTATGTCAGATGTTTGACTGCCATGTTTATTGTGATGATTCTAATTGATTTATGTTATATATACGAACTGCAGCACCTATTGGAAGTCTGAAGATGAAGGAGGGATGGGCGGTTTGGGAGGTGATGTGGACACTCATCCTTATGTCTCTTTCACCATAAATCTCATCTGAGAGAAAAATTTATGAGTCACTGTTTATTTTCCCGAGTTGGATCGCATCAGCCTGCAAAAATAAGAATACATATTTATATCGTTGTATATTAGAATAATTAACCCAATTCTTTTGGCTTTATTTAGTATATGCTGCTTGTGTGACTCTTTTTGAAAGGGAATTCTGGGTTGCCAGCTCTTCAAGAAAACCGCTCTCTTTTATTTATAGAAGTTTAGTTTGTCTATGGGAGTATTTGAAATTGTATTGGAATACTTTGTTTGATGGTTTTGACTTTATACATTGGATTTGGGGAGTGAATATTGTATTTATCTGAGTTTATGGTCTTTAGTGTAACCACTGAAGGATCTTCTTTGGTGCATTTTCTTGTTCGGATATTCGACCAGATGGGATCAGAAATTAGGTTTATATAGTCCTCATTCAAAAAGCCATTCCCTCCCTCCCTATGTTTGTGCAAGCGTAGTAATTTATCAATTTCTAAGAGTCTGCTTAAGAGATGAAAGCATTGAGGTTTAGTGATTTTTTACGGATATATATATATATATATACGGATATATATATATATATGTTGATCTTTTTTTTGTTTTAGAACTCTGTTTTCAGAGAACAGTAGATCAAACTAAATGTATTCGAGTCTTGCACATCTGTAATGTGGGTGAGGGCGAACCTTGTTGCAATTGTAAGGTCGCTCCATTGTGACCTAAAGGTTACAAGTAAGGCTGCATATATATAACCCTCTCAGACTCTACAATGGCGAAATGGCGAGATTTACCTGCTTACAACCGTAAGGGCCGGGCTTAGCCCTCCTTGATGCTTGAAAATAACACAAGCCCTCAATAATCACAGGCTGCTAGGCTCCATTTCTTGGCTGTGGGTCAATGTTTTGTTATAACACAAGCCCTCAATAATCACAGGCTGCTAGGCTCCATTTCTTGGCTGTGGGTCAATGTTTTGTTTGCAGGGGCATTTACTCAAAATGCATTCACTCAAAATGTTTGCATTGTCATTCAATTTATAACGTTGACACTTCAAGAAACTTGGTTTGGTACTTTCCGGGGGAAAAAAAAGGAAGTTTGGTTGGTCAATACAAGGGGTGGCAATGTATTTTGTGGGATGGAATTATGATGGCAACCAAACAGGCACATAAAAATAAAGTTGGAGTCCAAGGGCAGACATATAGTTGGGGCAATGGTCCCCAGTAATCTGGTAGTTTGCTTAACCAGTTGGTTATGTTGGATCCCTTTTTATTTTCTCTATTTGGTGCTGTCGACACGCAACATTACTTGTCTCCACTTTTGGTTGTATACGTAAAAGAGAAAACAGGAACATACACTGTATACTCCCAAGTCGGCACTCAATTCCACTCCAATATATGGTCATCTGACACACACACAAACACACAGACACACATATATATTTGTCAATAATGATTTTAATTAACTTTATAAGTTTTGTTAATTAACTTTATAAGATTTTGGGTTTTTTTTTTTTTTTTTTTAAAGGCGTGTGGAGGGAAGCATTGTTTAGATTATATATATATATATATATATATATATATATATATGTAACACATTTATGATATGTAATACGGAGTATATGACAACAAAGTGCCTTCCCAACTTGTGCCTACACTAGTTGGGAATAAAATTGGACTAACATGCTTGTATAAAATGTACAGAGACCAAACATAACCAAGTGTTGAGTGGGGTGGATCTGCCAGTTGTCGGCTGCACATGGATTTCAATTTCACAAATAGGGAAATTGTACTTGAAGTCGTATATATTTAATTAAAGTAGTTAAACACTTTTAGAATATTATTAAATTTAGTATAATCATTATTCAATCTAAGATTGTTAAAACTAGAGCCCATAATGTTCATACTAATATACTATGGATCATATCCCCTTTTTTCTTCTCTTGAAGATCATCATTTTCTTTCAGTTTGAGCCTACACATCAAAAGTGGTAGTGTGAAAGTCGAAAGTCTGATGCTTCCGGCTGTTTAATGTGAATTAATTATGATGGTGTCATCATGGCCTCAATTCATACTTATATATATTTAGTCGGATGTGTTCGACTCTGTATTGCAAGACTCCGTTTGTTTCAAAGTAAAGTTTTTTTTTTTGAAATTTTTTCCCGGATAAAATAAATATATTTATTTATTTTTTGATATTTGATAAATGTTTAGGTTAAGGTCGAGTCTATCAATTAGAGCATGTAAAATAGTTTGTCGAAATTGATGAATAAATTATTTTTGTTGGGTATTAATAATTTTTTCTTCATAAATATTTTTGGACAATTAAACATAAAAAAATATATAAAAATATTTTATGCTCAAACAAAATGGAGGATAAAATGAAATGCTCGTTTCAATGGAAAGTTTGAATCAACATTTCACTTCTATTTCTTTGGCCTACCAAACCTAGCACTAGTGTAGAAACTTAGATGTGGTCCTAGTCCTCTAAAGTCTTAGGCTTCATATTCTCCACATTTTGGCGGGTAAAAAAATTGATTCTTCAGGTGGACAGAAGCTAATGTAACACAATTCAATCAATATATATATATATATATATATATATATATATATTAAAAATCAAACATTAAGAAAAGACAATAACACATAAAAGCAAGTGGAATCTAGACTGTAGTCTATTATATTTGGACAGCCCATGCCTTAGATGCAACACTTGAGGGCACCACCTTATTTAATCGGTGTCGCCTTCAACCCCCCCTCTCTCTCTACCCTTTGGACAAAAGTCTCTCTATACCCTTTCTCTCTCTACACTTTGGACAAAAGTCTGTATTTCTCCTCTCTCTCTACCCATTGGACAAGAGGAGACAGGGAAATTGAATGGGTGAGTGCGCCATGCCATGCAGCCTTGTTTATTCTACGTCGGGTGGGACCATGGTGGGACCCAACCCCTTTGGCCCTAAACGAAGGCTGCACCGCCCCCAAAAGTGGTGCCTAAATCGGCCCCGCCAAGGACCATTCTTGCATGGGTTTGATAATGAGTTTTGATATTTCTCAGTTCTTATCTTTCAAAAAAAAAAAAAATAATAATAATAATAAAGAATAAACAGATTTTATTTATATACTGTTCTAGTCAATGTGTCGAAATAAAAGGTTTAGAAAAACAAATGTGTTTCAATTATCAAAATATGATTTAGGGTCCGTCTGGCATACATTTTATTTTTGGCTAAAACAGAAATAATATTTTTGTTATAGAAGTATTTTAGAAAAAAATCAAAAGTCCGTTTGGGAACAATGTTTTGGCTAAAACAGAAATAGTGTTTTGACAACTGTTATGGTTTTGGACGATAAATAGTTGTCAAAATAAGAAAAAATAATTTTTTGGTGTTTTGGTTTTAGATCACTATTCACAAAGTGTTTTAGTATTGTATAACATAAAATAAGGTCGCACCAAACATGCTTTTGTTGTCAAAATTGACATTGTAGCAGTCTAAAAACAAGAACAATAAAAATAAAATACATGTCAAACGGGCCTTAGTAGTATTTTCTTACTTCGAGATGGTTTAACTGCTTATAAGATAAACAAGTGTGTAAAGTATTTTTTGATAAGGTAGACAATAAAATGGTCAATTGAATGCTAGGATAATGTCATGAGATAGAAAACAAGCTAGCTGCTTAAGAGATTTTTCAAATTTGGGGGCGGAGCTCTCACTTTAGGAGGTAGAGGATATATTAGTAAATTACATTCTTTTTATGATAAAGAAATTGATAGGAATATGAGATGAATAAAAAAATTTAGGCTCCAAGCAATATAAATTGAATAAAAATTTTAGGGCCAATATTAATAGAGAGAGAGAGAAAAAAAAAAAAAAAAAAAAAAAAAAAAGACTTTGTAATGAGGAGACGGATAAAAGCAAAAAAAAATTGTCATGAGAGCTAAAGATTAAAAATAAAAAATAAAAGGATTTTAGTGACCAAATTTAAATAAAATTGGGGAAAATACACTTACATTGAGTTAGTAATTCAAAATAATAAAGAGGTCTATATTATAAATTTATTTTTCACTTTGGTTTAATGAAGCAAAACAATTACATATACATCAAAAATCATTATTAAAGTCCAAAATATCCTCCCAACTTATATTTTAAAATATCAAATATTCTTTTTAAATTAAAAAAAAAAAAATCGAATCCACTTTGAGCATCATTTAACTAGGTGATTTGGTATCGTTTAATTCAGGAAAACATTGAACAAGATGCATCGATTTCTGCCCTCAGAGGTACAAACTATGCTTCTCCCTTTTTTTTCTTTCTAATAATTAATTAATTGCAACCCCCTTATATATATATAGAAGTAGCACATTTCATAAGATATATATATATATTGCATTGCTTGGAGTGAATTTCCATTTTATCCGTGTGAGAAGAGAATGGAAGATCAATTGTGAATTCCAAACTATAATTTGTCTATTCCACTACAAGAATTTTAGTCACGAAAGCAAATGATCAGTAAATTACTATCTTTTATATATATATATATATATATATATATATATATATATATATATATTGATTCTATTCATTTATCCTATAGGATCAATTAAATTCTATTGATTGGGGCCTACGAATTATATAGGAATTAACACAAAAATATATTAAATTCTATTAGTTGGGGCTCAGAATATAAGATAAATATAAATTTCCACGGCATACATTAGTATAATGTAATGGTTGGGGTCTTAGGGATCGTCTAAGGCTCGAGCAGGCCGTGCATGTCGGGGATAGAATAATTGCCTACATCTTTTAATGATTTTTTTTTTTTTTAATACAAAAAGGGCAAGGACCGACCTGAGTATGTGAATGGTACAACTGGGCACGAACAGGACATAGATGGGTTAATTTGCAAATATTGTCTTTCTTAATCTATGGGGCTCAACTTGAATTTTAAAATCTAATAAGGTAAAAAAGTAAAAATAAAAATTAGGCTTAAAAGTTTTTTTTTTTTTTTTTTTTAACCTGACAATAAGAAAAACAGCCATACGGCATCTACAAAGAGTGCCAAAAATGGCCGTACAAAGACAAACAAATCATGAAGTAATAGAAGAAAAACTGAAGAACGGGCTCCAGATTTGCTAAAAAGTACATAACAGCGGAAATCACCAAGGGAGGAAAGCAGCCACGGGAGTGACCCACAGGTCAGGCCATCGTCAAGGCAACTGCTCCAAGGTTGTATCCACAAGGCGCCGCTAACGAGGAAGAAACCCCCCAAACCTCGCATAAGAGGCGAGACAACAAAACCCACACAGAGGCGGGACCATAAAACCCATACAGAGGAGGGGATAACAAA